GTAAAAAAATTGTTAAATGGATAAAGATAGAAAAATACAGAAAACAGGAAAATGGGATTCGATCCAACGACCTTTCAGCAGTGACGTCTGTGCTGTACTCGTTCGGCTATTCAGCGTTACGGATGTGCTATGAATATGACGACACTGTGACGTCATTGAGCGACGAAATAAGCTCAACCTAGAGCCCTATGTTCTTGATTATCCTAGGGGAAAAAATCACGCTGCCTGTTCAATGCTGCTGCCACCCAAACACAGCGCCTGCATTAAACAACCACTAGGATGTACACCAATTTCAGGTTTCCAGTTTTTAAATTTTTCCATCGTCCACCCCACACACGGCCAAAGTTTGTTCAAAACCGTGTTTTTTTGCATTTGTCTTCGACAATATACGCAACCGATTTTTGTATTGCTCTAAACTTCGGTTGCTACGACAGTAACGCGCCCAATTATTAATTATTTGTTTTACAGCAAGGAATGAACATTCTACACTGCGCCGCACAGAACAATCATGTTGCCGTAATGGACTTCGTTTTTGAAGCGCTCGAAAACGTAAACCCTGACGAGGTTGACAAGGTAATTATATATAGGCTTCATGTTTAATAAAAAAACGCTCTCCTACGTATTTTATCACTAAAGTCCCCCGTATGCTAGTCGTTCGCGTTGTGGCTACGTAATTACTACGTGGAACGTGGGGTGAGCGGCGAAATTATCGGAGACCTATAGAGTGAGAAATACAAAAAGTGAGCGTGATAAATATAAATGATACTCAATTTCCGGTGACAATCGGAGCGTGCCCGAAACGTGCTCAGATGAATATCAAAAAAGCCGCCTTCAATGCGCTGATTATCGCACACGTCTTGGCAGAGAGATTTACAAATAAACACTAGGGCGTGTATGTTTCGCCTGTGTATACCCCGGTATCGATTGAATCCAATTGACACGCACTCCACCGCAAATACACACAGGCTCGCACGCGCACATGTGCACACACATGCAGATACACACACGTGCGCACGCGCTCACGTGCACTCACACAACCACGCGCGTACGTACACACCAATGTAAGAGTGAGCTCATCGTAAGAAGCGCCTATACTCTCATCACACCTCGATCTCCTAAACTAGTTTGAACACCAGCATCTATAGACTAAACACGAATGTAGGAGTAAGCTCGTAAGAAGCACTGATACTCTTATCACACCTCGATCTCCTAAACTAGTTGAACATTAGCATCTATACATTAGTGATCTCATTCACCCTGTCGCCACGGCAATGCTTTTTCGTCGTCGACCGCGCATTAACTCTGCCCTTGGAGTAATAAGCTGACTTATTACTCCAGGCTCTGACCAAGACTGCTGGTCTGATTAGTAGGAGTCAAAGGATCAGTCAGAGATTACTGGGAGTAAATACTTCGTGCGGAGCATAGATACAGCATATACCAGTATAGATAAACCGTATAGATAAACCGTATAGATGGCATCGGTTCCGCTCGCTCACTGACGATGTATTAATGTCGGAGCGCTCTGAAGATGCTTTGTTTCTGCGCCGTGGCATGCGAACAGCCTGCATGTATGTTACACCAATCTCAGAGAACAGTAGTTCATTGTCGTAGGCTGAGCGAGCTAATTCTTAGGGGGGGGGGACAAAATTTCATGACTCAACTGTGTAATGATGAGCGACGGGCGCAGCTCTTGATCGACGTTCATAGTGTGGTAGGGGTAGGTCTGAGACAAGGCTTTCACGGATAAGTGACAAAAAAATCACGTTAGGGTTAATTACGATTATTAGCTAGGCTTATTTTTTAATTTTGCTCCAAAATCTAGGGAGCAGCTTTCCCCCCCTCCCATATTACTCGTATACTGGGATTTAATCATTCTGTATAGCAATGCATAATGTGTAATGCAAGAAGAAATAATCAAAACTACAATTTGACGTAAAATGTCAGTTGTGTATGTTGTAGATTCAAGACATTATTGCTTGTGCCACATGTCGCGGCCATGACGTGTAAACGCAATTAATTTAGTTTGTTTGTGTATGGCGCCGGAATAGTCTAGCCATTTTATGAAAGTAATGGATCAAGCTGTCACCTATTTCGATATGCAGCTGTCGTTGAGTGTTCTGTTGTGACTTGTCATTACTGCTACGATTTGATTAATAGAACCTGCGCAGCACGCGTAATTTGGCTTGTAGGCCAATCCAACGATACGAATATAGGCTCATATACCATCCATCATTGTTTTTACATACGAATGTGGCTTGCATGACGAATAGTGACAATGCTTGCAAAGAGCAGTGCTTCGTAGTCGACGTAGCCGTTAACGCGCGTCATAATTTGGTGACGCGCTCACATATACTTCCATGTTGCCGACAATCGTTATTTTTTTCTGCCGCGAAATTCTTTTTATGTGCATGCGTGTCCTATTGATTACACGCGACGGTGGTTGCCGCGGGTGAGAATAAACAATAGTTGTGAACGTCAGCTGCATAAATGATCGTGCGCGTTTGCATTGAAACGAATTGTCGGAACACTTCGCTGTTGTAAAGATTGCAGTGTGTGACAACCTGCCGTCGCCGACGTGCGTGCGACGCGCGGTGGGAGGAGGGGGGGGGGGAGACGGCGCGCTCCTATTCGCGCCTACACGAACGGTGTGATAGCATATTTGCGTAGTTACACAAATGCTGCGTGAAGAATGTCAGTCAAGTCTGCGCCTGGTCAAGTCTGGTTAGAAGGCTCACCGTTATTCTGTGGTTAATTTGAGGTGAGCATGTTCTGTCGAACTATATGGTAGTCAGTGCTAGTGCGATAAAAGGGTTTGATTGCAAATTTAGATCACTGTGGCCTGACAGGATAGATGTAGCGGGAAGTGGCTGGCAGTTTTAGTGTGGATACTCTGTGCCGGTCTATAGGCTTTATTTATAGCGATGCCAACTGTGGAAATTTGCAAACATGCAGTCAATTTGCACACAGTGTACAGAGAATACCAAATTTGGAATTTCTGCAAGGCCCACGTTGCTTTCAGTTTGTGATGGTTAGAGTACGGCTGTATAACGTTTACCCCGAGAGTAATGGTGGCATTACCTGCACATCGTGCCACGCTTGACAGTCCTGTCGCCTAGTGACAATTTCGTGATGTCCTGTTAGCGTAGGTGACAGTCCTTGGGGTGTTTGCTAGAAGGTTTCTAAGCTGTAGTTCCGACTTTGAAGAGCGAACGTTCTCCGTGGCGAAACGTGTCAAATGCCGCCTTACTTTTAGTAGTAAAATTGCGCGGTTTAGTATTTAGCTCAGCCGACAGTCAGACGAGCTTGTTGAATGGCAATAGCGTCCGTAAGTGCATACGTGCGTACGTGCGTGCGTGCATGCGTGTGTGCCTTCGTGCGTCCGTCAACCAAATTAGCAGCGCGAATCTAAACGGATTAAATTGCCGCATTCACGTTCGGCGTGCAGCTGGTAATCGAAAATGGCGCCGAAGCAGGTCAATAGGACATTAGTCCCGCGAACGCACAATTTCGGCACAAACGACTTCACCTGCGTTCTTGATGTTCGGCGCAACGTCGTGAAGCTGCAGCTAGGCCAGGGGGCATATCTTGCAAAACTTTGCCATGACGTGTCCGAGTTGTCCAACGGATACCCGTTTATTCAACGCTGACCAATTGTCGCAACTTTTTTCTAAAGAACCTTGAAATTTACTTTCGTATGCGCTGCTTTATTATTTATTTGTTAACTACTACTATTATTATTATTTAATATTAGTATTACTATTATTATTTATTGACATCCATAGCCTTCCCATGGGAGACAATCAACCTCGAACTCGAGGGATTGCCGATGATGATTACTATTATTAGTTGTATTTCCCGCGACGAAGTCGGCGGGGATACTATGGTTTCATGTCTGTCCAGCCGCCGCCGCCGCCGCCGCAGACACTTTCCCTTTCGCTCTATAACTCGACCCCTGACCTAGCGTGACCAAACATGGTATACTTACACATGTTGGAGAGAAAGTACGCAGCGTACCAAAACCAAGTCACTACGACCTTTATTTGACCTTTACCTTGACCTTGATCATATTTCCCTTCTGCTCTATAACTCGGCCCCTAATTGACCTAGCGCTACCAAAAACCTTTACCTTGACCTTGATCATATTTCCCTTCTGCTCTATAACTCGGCCCCTAATTGACCTAGCGCTACCAAACTTGGTATACTTACACATTTTGGGGAGAATGTATGTCGCGTACCAAAACCACGTCACTGCGGCTTTTATTTAACCTTGACCTTGACCTTTATCATATTTCCCTTCCGCTCTATAACTCGGCCCCTAATTGACCTAGCGCTACCAAATTTGGAATACTTACACATCTTGGGGAGAAGGTGTGTCACGTACCGAAACCAGGTCACTGCAACCTTTATTTGACAAATTGACATTAACCTTGACCTTCATCACATTTCTCTTCTACTCTATAACTTGGCCCCTAATTGACCTAGCGCGAGCAAACTTCGTATACTTACACATCTTGGGGAGAAGGTGTGTCGCGTACCAAAACCCCTAAGGCAACTAATTTTAACATACTTGCACATCTCAGGCAGATGAGTTGTGTAACAAACCTTTGTCTTTGTGACTTATTTAACTTTACCTAGCTTCTACGTCCTTACAGAGATATTTCATTCATACTAGATCATGGGGGATACATGTAGTTGGCGACAACTGCCCTTTCTAGTTATCAATATGTAATGCTTTTATTCTATATGCTACTCGATGACCCCGAATATAAATAAAATGTTATTTCATCTCGTTCAATGAATTGTCATGTTCTGTTGAAAAATGGCGTAAAAAGGCATTGGACTATGAACAGATGAACATTTATAAAACGAATAAATAAAAAAAAAATTGATTTTACTTTAAATGTGAGCGTTTAATGCAATCTTCTGTTCGACAGGCTACAGTTTATAGAAATGGGAACTGTGAAAAAAAGTACAATTAAAATTTTCATGGAATTACAGAATGAGCGAACGCCGCTCTACGTAGCAACGGCACATGGAAATCTAGAGGCAACCAACCGACTTCTGCAAGTGAGAGCTAACATTCACATTAAAAATAAGGTGTGTATTCATCTCAAATCACAGCCGCTGGCTGACTGAACATGACTTATAACTGATTTATATCAGCATATCAAATAATCTACTTGAGCATGGTTTTGTAAACGGTAACATGATTCCATTATCTAATTATATATTCAACATTTTATTTGTAATGAGCGACATTTAAATAAGATTGTTTCCAAAACCTTCGTAGTCGCGTGCTTCTACAGTACAGATTTACAGGAATACATCATGCCCATTTAAAATGTATCAAATTTTCAACCAACGGCATCATAAAAGCAGTGAATTCATAGATAAAAGCACACAATTTCTGAGCAGTAGAAAGTTAATGTGCATCTAGCCGCCTTTGAGACAAGCAGATATTTACTTCCCTTCGCAAGGGAACCGTTGAATCAGCTTACAAGTTACCGGCTTCTGTATTTCTGCTTGGTTATATAGCGTTATCTAATTGATATTCGTACTCCACTCTCTTGGATCCCATAAGTTCTTAGCCTACCAGGAAAACCTTTAAATTTTGTAGACATGAGAACCGCCGAATACCTCATATAGAGATAACTAATCTCCTGATCATAATCATGATTGCTCGCATCGTAGTCGCTGAACTATTAAAAGACATTTACGCGATAGGTTATAGGCCCTATAGTTCCTGCACTGCTCTGTTATGATGTATTAAATAATGAATTCAGCGCGAGTGTAGCGGGCATCATGTCAGTTTCGATCAAAAAAAAACATTCTGGTAAAATGTTGACGCAGGATGGTAGCACTGCCGCCCACGCCGCTGCTCGGCAAGGACACCAGGAGATACTCCGCGCCATCATCGACAGGGGCTTTGACGTCGACGACAGGGATGCGGTAAGCAGATCATTGCGAATAAATGCTCGGCTCCATAATACACCCGCTAACATGCCTTCACACACGCATACGAAATTCCAGGTAGACACGATATATTAATAGCGCGCACACTTGTTTTCGAAGATGTTTGTTATCCAATCTAAACACCGTGCGAAGGTTTAGGTGGGCCATCACCTCTTCTATATACAAATGTAACTTGATGCAGGTCTAATGTTATGGTTAGGTACACCACAATTTACCAATCTATAGCTAATAAAATATTAGCAAACCTTTCACGGCGGTGTTGTTCAGCAATCCCTCGTTCTTCATCAGAATCACCGTAACCCCACTTTCCTCTTACTACAAGAATTTCCCTATCGTCGTGGCTGTCCGCATTGTCCGCTAGTAAATGAAAATCGGAAAGTAACCATCGAAAAGTACGGAAAATTTGTTATCATGTAAAACTCCTTCTCCCTCTCTTCTATCTATCTATCTATCTATCTGTCTGTCTGTCTGTCCGTCCCTCCGTCTGCCCATCCGTCCCTCCTTCAGTCCGTCCGTCCGTCCGTCCGTCCGTCCGTCCGTCCGT